ATGTAATAGTCTTAAGTTGTCTGAATTTCTTAAATGAATCATTGTTTTTCTTAATGACTTTTTACTAAAATTTCTTTCCTCTTATTTTGTTGCTTTCTGAAAATGTGTCTAAATTATTTATAAAACCTTACATGTCGGAAGTCAGACATTTAATATAGAAACTGGGAAATAAGGTGACATACTACTAAAAACAAAGATAGGTTCGGCAAAAAACTATAGTGGGCTCACACTCATATCCATTGCTGCAAAAATTTACAACTCACGGCTTCTCAAAAGACTATGGCCAGAAGTACAAGATGTTCCCCGAGAAAACTAAAATTTTTCACATTTTTTGTAGATCTCTCTAAAGCGTTCGATTCTGTAAATAAGGGAAAATGGGGAAGATTTTTCTAGCACATGGCCCCACCCCGCGAGACAGTAACTGCTATAAAGGTGCTATATAAAAATACCAAATCTTTGGTTAGGTCCACCTGACAGAGACACTAACTTCTTCAACATCAAAGCAGGAGTTCTTATCACTCTTGACTACGCATTGATAACTTCTCTCGACGAATATCATTATCTAGCTTTTACTTTATCACCAAGACTCTCAAATCGATATTTGTAAAAAAATGTTGCTGATATTAACTGTTAAGATGAACTTGCTATCACGGCAGATACCATTACCAATGCCCCAATTCTCGTGCATAATATAGAAAATGCTGCAAATGATCTGGGACTCCATGTCAATGTTTCTAAAACTGCATTCATAGGTTTCAACCACCAACGCAAAATACAAACTGTCTCATGTTTGAATCAATAAAGTCTGTCGAATATTTTACATACCGGGAAAGTAAAATAAATTCTACTGAAAAGGATGTGAAAACTCCCACAGCTAAACCTGGAATAAAATTGGTGTAATCTTGAAATCTGATTTACCAGACAACCTGAACCAGAGTTTCTTTAGTGTGCCACTGCCTGGAAATTAACTAAAACCCTTGAGTCAAAGCTTGATGGAAGCTACACACAGCTGCTGAGAGCTATATTTAACGTCTCCTGGAGAAAACATCCAAATAATCACAGTTCCAAGCAGCCATCCCTGATATTTTTGCAATCTTACGTGAACGCAGAATGCGTCTTGTATGACACTGCTGGTGAAGAAAATAAGAACACGCGAGTGATCTAGTGTTTGAGACACGTAGCCATGGAGCAACCAGGTATGTTATGACAGACAATGCCCCACCCAACGACCTTCCTACCTTGAGGCAAGACTGTGATGGTTGGCAAGATAGACTCATGTATGTCCAAACTAATTAGATCGAATAACATATATATATATATATATATATATATATATATATATATATATATATATAGACTCTACCGTCGGTTTCAACGTATAAGGATCTGACAGCTTACTTGATTGTTATGAAATTTTGTGCGATAATCTTAAGTGGCACTTAAGACCCGCTAGTGATTTACAAAGGAGGCCACATATGGAGCAAGTGTGAGGATTGTGAGATGAGATCACTGTTAGATTGGCTGACATTTTAGATCTTGCTCTCACTTCTTGAAGATGATTGAAAATTGCTAAGTCCACTAAAACACGTTGATCTCCATTCTACCCGCTCGAAGGCTAAGCGCTCAAGGGTGTTATGTGGTATATTGACTGCTGACAAGTTGCTTTTCAGCTTGTCTTTGTATCTTAGCCATGGGCGTCCTACATTCCTGTAGCCCTGATCTAACTGGCTGTACATTAGGATCTTGGGTATCCTGTCATCAGACTTCCTCAAGACATGACCACTCCACTGTAACTGAGTCTGTATGATAAAAGTCTCGATTCCTCCAATATTACACCTGTTAAACAGGTCTACGTTAGATGATCTTGAAGGTTAACTCCACAGATATATATATATATATATATATATATATATATATATATATATATATATATAAAGTTATTTCTTATCTCCTTCGTTCCCGCCACTGTGATCTTATACTTGAATGAAAAGTGAAACCAACATTTTTCAAAGATTTCAGGCATTTGTGGAGAGCGAAAATCGTACTAGATTCGTTTTGCTGTAGTTTAAGGAAGTTAATTTAAACAAATAATACATGTTCTGTAATTGAATGACAAAATAAAAGAAACATTCTATGTAACGCATTTTGTTTTTTGAAAGCACATCACCAGACTGAAATAATGTTTTTAGGGAAGGGGGTGGGGAATATAAGTGAAGTCGTTGATTATAGTTTTGCACCAATTGATTTGCTTGATTCGTTTTCTGCGGTTTATCAACCTTTTGCAGGTTATTTAAAGCCAGACAATATTTTTAGATTGTAGGAATGTTTTGGAGATGATAATGATTTACTGATACAAGTCTTACTAATTAACCCATAGCTGGGGGAGAGCGGTAGATATTTGCGAATAAGTGAATATATTGAACCTAACTGAAATTGGAACACGGCCTACTGATTAACAATTCTGAGCCATTATCAATTGCCCAAACAGCACATCCAAGCTTACAGCACTCGGTAATCCCAAACAGGGACCATTCTAGATCCTGGTTTGATGTTGCTTAACTTCGGTGATCGTACCGTTGTGTGACCGTAATCTGATTTTGCACTGGGTAGAAACACTGAATGTGTAGGGTTGCTAAGTCTTAAATTTAAAATTTCTGGCGTCCGGCGTCTCGGTACGGAGCAACTCAGCCGATTTCATGTCGTGTCTTAAACTCTTTTGTTTTTGTCTTTATCGCTGTTATTTTTAAATGTCACACTGAGTCAACAGAAGGTTTGTTAAGAAAGATAAAATGTCGTAAGAAAGTAAACGCAAATTTAGTGTGGAAGATTCAGAAATCAGTGCAACTTAGTAAATTACTGTCTCTCTTAATTAAGGCAGCATTTTTATGTCGAAATTACAGTAAGATACATTATAATACATTGTGCGTATTGTTTTGTAAAAGACCACTTTTGTGTTCATATAAACTTTTATTTAATTTCCTCGAAGTCTCACCTTTGTATTTTTTAAGCAACATTGCAGGCTATACTGTATATTCCTGCTTCGAGAGTAGATATTATAACAGAAACTTACATAGCAAGTATAAATATTTTATGGACGTTATTTGGATAATTTCATTTCTAACGTATACCCTGACATAATATATATATATATATATATATATATATATATATATATATATATATGCAATATCAGTTGATAATTGGTAGGGCTAATTCCATGGAAGACATTAATCCAAGGAAAACTCAATGTAAGAAACTCACTTTTTTTTTTATATATATTTTAAATTTTTTTTATTTTATTCAACTTACTTTATTTTATTAATGTCAATTATTATTATTATTATTATCATTATTATTATTATTATTAATTTGAAATTGTGATGATTATAAGGAGATGATGGTTCCTATGCTGTCGAAAATGCCATGACTATTAGACACATTACTATATCTATTTTAAGTCTGAGCAACCCCTCTCTTACCAAATATATTAACTTGTTCAGCTCTTAAAGAAAAAAAATCCTTTCTAGGTCACCCTATCGGCTCATGTTTAATCCTGCTTTTCTTTCCCCACTTTCTCTTTACCCTCTCCACCCCCTCTCTCCTCCTTTCTCTTTTTTAAAACCTTATATTGTAATTTTTCTTTTTTTTTCTTCCTCTTCATTTATAAACATAAACAATTGTTCCTTTTCTTTTTTGTTATTTTTTTCTTTCCCTCTTCCTTTTGTCTGGAAAATGGATTCCATTTATTAAAATAACTTCGTTCTGAATAGATGAATAAATTATAACCAAATGGATTTTTAAAGATCGTCTGTATTTATATATATATATATATATATATATATATATATATATATATAATGTAGATAATTTTAGTTTATCAATTTTTTTATTAAAACTTTCAAATTTTTGAATAGATTGTTTTGTGTTATCGGTAAATGTCATGATGCCTACCTAGACCGACAGAATGAACTCTTCCGAACGATATATATATATATATATATTTACACCTCTCAACAGAGGCGAACAGTATTAGTACAGTATTAGAACGAATTTGGTATTGGTACGGTATTGAATCGAGTCGAGCTGATAGCAGTCACGCCAAACCAGTCGGAAAGTCTTGCTAACCCTTTTCACTTGTATTATTTCTTGTGTAATATATTCTTTGTTATTTCTACTGTTGTGTTTCGTCTTGTTCTTCTATGGTCCTAACCTTGGACCATAACAGTGGCGACGAGGATATTGAAGAAACAAATTCTATGCGGAGGATATAAAAAAAAAATCTCTTTTTGCTATCAGTCGCCTATTACAGTAAATTTGCCAAAATTCATATTAACTTATATTTTATGATATTTTTTCCAAGTACATTGTAACCCGGATATAAGAGAGTTGTCGGGACCGGAGAAGAAGTCTCTTATATTCGAGTTTCTCTTATATACGGGTTTGGTCTATTTTGTTTAGGTTAGTATGGGAACAATTTGGGACCAGAGAAAATCTCTCTTATATATGGGTTTCTCTTATATCCGGGTCTCTTATATCCGGGTTACACTGTACTTTCGAATTTTGCTCTATTCGTTTCCCAGGATTCTTCTGTGTGTAGTTATGCAACTATTTTTTTAATTTCAGCGTCATCACGTTTCATGGAACCAATTTCAAGACACTCAACGTGATGTCATATAAACGGTCAAAATGAAATTTGTGTGCGTGCGTTTTATATTAAACAAATATGGGACCGCTTATTAAATATGTTTAATATAAAACACACACGGTCCAAACTTCAATATACGGTCCCCTCTATTGAAGTTTATTTAATATAAAGCATACATACACATGCATACGCAATGGAAAATGGGGCGTCGCTGGATTTCTTTCGTCTCTCGCTTGCTAACTCCTAGGCTAACTTAACTCCGCGAGCAGTAAAGTACGGCTGTCGCTTACGACAAGTCACGAACATTTGCTTTTTATATCCGTGACTGTGAGAAATTTTGCCTCTTAGAGAACACATGCGGTAAATCATTGCAACTCATACACTCTCCTTTACTGGCAAGTAGGTAGGTTTTCCCTACTAAGAGCAATAAAAGCGGCCAATAGAGACCATCGGAAATCCGTAGCGTACGACGCAGAAGACGGAACGGGAGGAGAAAAGGAGAGCAGAGAGACACCGCGGCGAACGAGTTCAGCAGCGGCAACCAGTGCTTCTGAAATTGTGACCGCGCGGTGGCTAGGCGTGCGGCAACCTCGACTCAAGAATCACCACACCGCCTGCACGCACTTATGGCAGCTGTCAACCTCACCCGAAAAACACTTTCGTTCGCACCACGCGCGTAATCGGCTCCGAAAAGTACCCACTCAACCTTCTCGAACACATAAAACCGAAACGCCATTGCAGGCGGACCGCGCCGCAAAGCGCAAACGTAGCGAAAGCTACAGCATCGTACCTGTTTCTCGATTCTTTCGGACACGCCCTGAAAAACCGGGTCCTCTGAGCCAATCCTACTTCCTAAGGAACGTATCCATTTTGCCGTCTTCCCTTACCTACATTGACGCCATCGAGAAGAGGTTGTACACTTTGGTGACCTGTTGCAGATGGTGGATACATACCGATCGGATCCGGATTAACCAGGGGCGTCGAAATCGCCCCGGACACCGACTGAGCCGTATACAGGTATATTCTCTGTATCTTAAAAATGAGTCGAGTAACCGAAGGGGAGCGAATTCTTCCCGAAGTACGCGGAGTCTGTTGCGCCATCACGGTTTCGTCCGAGAAGCAACGGAGCGTTAACGATATTGCTACCAGCAGTGTCACTCTCCGATCTGGGTTCTGGAATATGAACCCGATGACCTTTCGATATATTGTGCTATTTAATAAACAGAGGGATAAAACAGATTTCTTCCGGTGAAAAGACATCTTAATTTGATTTTCATGAAGAGGCAGTCCAACGTACATATGTTAGTCTCGAGAAAGCCGTGGAAAACTAAAGCTTTCCGCGTTCATTGGGACCGGGTTTTCTGTGACCGTTGGACATTAGAATGATATTCTCATGTCACAGTCGAAGATTATTTTGATAAAAAGCAACAGTAAGACAAGCAAACTTAGTTGAAAATTAAGAAGAAAAATATCAACGCTTAGAATTCAAACATTGTTAGACTTCTAACAATAATGTCTAAGTGCAGGAAAGTATTATATATTTGTCTACGAGCAGCAAAAGGCCAAGGTATTGTTTTGGAAACGTTTGTAGTTGTACAGCCTTTTGGCTTGGATGTATTCTTGCAGAGTAACTGTTCCTCTTCAGATGGGTCTTTGGCAAATGTCGTAAGGAACTTGCACATAGAGATTCCCTACCCTTTATTGCTGGACAGATCGGGTCGGTGGATTCTTAAGCCTTCGTGACTCTGAATGTCAATTTTTGTCTTTGTCCACACTCATAATTATCGACCTCACCCCGTCAATGTCTCATATCCTTCCTCTGTGCGGAGAGGGGTGTAGGGAAACACTAAGTTGATATGTTGACTATATATCGGGTTCTAACGCACTATATCCAAGCCAAACAATGTCTGCGGGCAGAATAAATTTATTTTATGATTATTGTAGTTATGTGTTTACAGAATAGCCAATGTCATCACAGACTTAGTAAATGTTGAGGGCGAGAGCATTTACTTCCGGTCATAGCAATAAAGGTCATAAGACTCCTTGACTGGGAGAAATTGAAGGAATGCTGGGAATGCTTTCAAAGGCAAAGAAAAAAAAAGGCGAAAATAAAACTACGAACAAAAATGATGTATTTACTATCAGCGATATATTAAAACAGTTTTTTTTGTCCTATTTAAAAAAAAAAAAGAAATATTTTGCAGTATTAATTTTTTATACTTTTGTACGTTACTTTTTCTTTCTTTTCTATTGTTTTTTCATGGCACATCGCAGGTATGTTTTCTCAAAATGGGTCTCTGTGCTGTGATGCGTTAACTTGTATCACTAGTATTCACATGACTATTAATAAGTCCTCTAAAGAGACGATGGGCAAACATGGACCTTCATGCCCACAAATAACCCCCCCACCCAAAAAAAAACCTTTCAAAAGGACGTTTTTTTCCTTTGACACCGCTATTATTTAACTACGTCACTCCATCGACAATGTTTATTTGCAAGATTAGAAAAATATTCAGCTTTAATAATGATTTATTGTTTACCATTTTATAAAGAAATAAATATAAAAACATTATTCAAAATTTTAAAAATAACAAAAATATCAAAATATATAAACCATCGGTAATAAGCTTTAAAACATCGACTAAATGCTAATTCTACCAAGGTTTACGCTCGGTGGAGTAATGGATAGCGATTGAGGAATCGGAGAGCCGACTTCGAATTCCAGTCGGATCCATTGCATCGGGAAAGGTATGAATAATCTCTACGCAGCTATGGGAAAATAGGACAGATCGGGTTTTATAGCCTAGGATGGCAACTGGTCTACTCTAGAAAGAAATAGCAACCTCTCGTCATCGAAAGATACATGATCGCCTAAGCGTGTATCACGTACGGCACATAACTGATTCCCACGGCAATGTTTGTTATTTTAAAAAGACGATAATTTGAATTTTAATCACACCCAATTGTATGAAATTTATACATTTTTCTTAGTTCTTTGAGAATTCATAAGAAAATATTAAACTCTATTTATTAGATGTGAACCAACTAATAAATTGCTATGTTTATTATTTATCAAAAGAAATAAATACGAAAATTCCTTTTTCATTGACAAATTTATAAAAAATAATAGATAATCTGTCGGCAAATTTTATAGGCTTAAAAAAATAGCAACGATTTAAAACTTTAAAAAAATTATGCCTTTTAACAATGAGTAAGAAGCGGGGTTCACCTATAATTGCTGGAGTGTCAGGCCTTGGATTTCAAGATTACGATTTTAAAAAAAATTGGAAAAGAACTAATCAGAGATGTAAAATAATCTGAGGAGAAAATATCCGGAAATGCAATATAATTGGCCCTGTTCTGGCATCTCGTCTACAGTCACTCTCTCACAGATGCGTCGTCGCCTCTCTCTGTCTGTTTTACAAATAATTTCATGGCAATTGCTCCGTTAAGCTGCTTTCGCTGGTTCCCAGACTTCATGAGTCCAAGCGTCCTACGAGGCTGGCATCCCGCTCTCACCCCTTCACTGTCGAAACTCCTAAATGTAGCCGTTTCTTCTACTCTAATAGCTTCATGTCTCGCACCTCTCGCCCGTGGAACTCCCTTCCCTATTCCAGTTTCTCTGAGAGCTATAATCTCCAACTATTCAAATGTAATGTCAATCGACATCTCCAGTTGCCTTGATCTATCCACTATCCTTCTCCTCATCCTTTCTTCTGTCACTCCTATCTGATCTTGCTCAAAGTCTTCTGCAACCCCCTGCATCCTAGTGGCTTCTCGCCTTGCTTGGGGTGAAACGCTTAAAAAAAATAATATGTTTATTCAATTTTTTTTTATTAATTGATATAAAATTATGAATAAAAAAAAACTTGTTTTCATAGTTATTTATAAAATGTTAAATAATGAATATTGCAATATAGTTGGTTTACATATTTTGATAATGATATGTTTTGCATATATCTCTGCATAGTAGTAGTCGTAGTACAGTTCTTGTGCTCTGAATAGCAACCGGGTTTGCTAGCCACCCTATGTTCACCAGTTGTTCTCTATTTATACTTGTCTATCTAATTTGCATACGATACTACAGGGTGATATGCATGAGTTTACACTTGAGGTTAGGTGCAAGTTTATTTTTTAAAGCATAAATTTGATAAACAAGAAGTTAAATTATTTATGACTTCACATCACTTGTTTCTTGCTTTTCTGTTAACTATGATCTTTAAAAGTTTTTAAATGCAACATCAATCGTCATCTGCTGTCTTTTTGAATTGTGTTCTTTTATTGTCCTTTCTCCTCACTAACCTTTTCTCATTTTCTTTCAATCTGGCACAACGCAGTGAACCAATATTCTTAGCAGCAGACCAAGCAATTGATTCAAAAGAATCTTTCCACTTCATGACATGAGAAGGTGCAACAAGAAAATTTTTTTTTTTTTTATGTTTAAATTTTTTTATATTTATTTTTGCTTTAATTAAATATAAATTTTTAGGATATTTTAATTCTTTTAGATTAGAAAAGTAAAGAAAAAAAAGTCAAACATATGATAGAGTTACGTTTTGCACATTTCTCTGCATAGTAGCAGTCGTAGTACAGTTCCCCGTGTCCTGAATAGCAACCGGGTTTGCTAGGCATAGACACCACTATGTTCGCCAGTTGTTCTCTATTTATACTGGTTTATCTAATTTGCATATGATGCTACACCTACGTGAATCAGAGAGGTCGTATAGCCTTGTTTTGTTCTTTTATTATTCCTGATTATTTTCGTATTCTGTTGCCCTTCCTTTTGTCTTTCTTGTTTTCTCTTTAATGGTAATCTCAGTCTCTCTTCATTTTCTTCTTCAAACTCGTCTGTCTTTTCATTGTCATTTTCTTCCATTTCCTGCTGTGTTCCACTTTTGTAACTTTCTGTCTCTTCTTGTTTTTGATCTTCCATTTCTACGTCATCCAGTTCATATCTGCTTCCGAAGTGATCTGCATGGGCCAGTATATGTTACCCTTTTTTCTCAAGTATAGCCGTTTTGTGTCCTTTTTGTATCAGGAAATTTGCTTCTTCTAGATTAGCCTTTTTATTCTTTCTATGCTATGCCTTTTCTTTTGTTACAAAGAACATAGTTATGGAGGCTCTGATTGTCTTCCCGTTATTGTCGAAAGGCTCAATTAATGATAATTTTGTAATTTTTTAAAAAACTATTTGAATAAAAAGATTTCTTTTCACATTTAATTCTTTTAATAAAACGATAAATACTAAACCTTCATAAAGGGGGAATTAATTTCTTATAATCGTGTAAATAAAAAAGGGAGTGAATGTACTTAAAATAATAGCGGTGACAAATCAAAAAGGCTTCCTTTTATTTTGCATGCACGATGGTCTATGTGGTGTAATGATTATCAAACTTGTCATTACGACTGGGCAGTTAGTTCGATCCTCGCTGGTTGCTTCACACTTGCTCCACATCTGAGCTACGCTTAGATGGAGTACTTCGACGTAGTGTAATCGTTAGAAAACTCATCTCGCTTTATCAACTGCAACTGAGTAATGATTTCGATCCTTACTTGGTGCTCTATACTTTCGTCCTTGTGCCATATCTAAGCTATGCCTGGAAAATATCTACTTGGGCTCCTCGAGGTGGTTAGCAAGCTTGTCTCGCAAGATCAATTATGACTGAGTAGGGAGTTCGATCTTCACTGGGTACTCCATACTTTCGGCTTTGTTCGACATCTCAGCTACACTTAGTAAATCTCTTCTCTCTCTCTATATATATATATAGTTAAGCGACAGTTCGCAGTTTCGTTTTTTAACCTTTTTTTTCTTCATTATTTCACTAAATCGTGTTCTTCCCTCTTCAGTTCAGGTTCTTGTCTGACCATCGCTTTTCGCGAAACTAGGAATAACGATTCGAACCAAATAACAGTGCTCTGTTGGTTAGTGTTACTGCTCTGTCTTGGTCTCTTTGATAGAGACATGGATCACTTAGGTGTCTGCCTTTTCTATTTTGTCTCTTTTCTATTTTATATTTCGTTTGCATTCTTTTTACTTGTTCTTGTTTTTTCTTCTTTTGCCGTTACATTTTTTTATTTGGCAGACACTGTGTTGATAGACTTAAATTTGGAAGATTTACCAATAGCTTG